GAAAATTTATTTAGGCCAAACCGTGAATTTTTGGGCCTCAACAAAGTTAGTTTTATTGTTGCTTTGTATTTTATAATTTATAATTATATTGTTATCTTGGAATACAATATACTTAGCTAGCTGTGTTTTAGTCCCTCCTAAACGAAGAGAATATCACAAGGATTTTATAGGATTATCGGTGTTTTTTGGGATTATTTATTTATTTATTAATGCCATTTTCTTGTAATTTATTGTGTTATAGAAGTAAACAATTCGTAAGAAATTAAATTAAAATCAGAAAATACACCAAAATTGCTACATACTCCTTACAATATAGCCTTCATTATGGAGATCTAAATTCAGGATTCCAAATATTTGAGTTAATGGTAATCAATGGATTAAAGAAACAAGATTATAAGGTGGTATAATGTTTTGATTTTTCTATGACTAAAATTGGGTTTTTGTTATTACTTTGTATTTTTTATGATTCAAATTAGATTTTGGGAGTTTAAGTGAATAAAATGTCACAAGGAGTTCTTAGGAATTTTTGGTGTGTTTTTCTGATTTGAAATTTATTTATATGAATTTTAGAAGTTAAATTGTAGGGAAATAATAAGAAATATAAAGTATTGACATGTGTTAGCTTTTTAAAGGCTGTCTGTCAGTATTTATGACATGTGGCCGTATAACATGGTGACATGTGTTCTTTTGTTGTTATTTATTATTTTTATCTTAAAGAATTCATAAAATTATTTTCGCGTGAGTGCCTTTTTTCACAAAATTTTCATTTCGCGGTTTCATTCCCTTCGAAATTGCTCTCTGTCTCGTCCCTAACCTAACCACAACCCCCCACTCTCTCTCCTCTCTCGCCCTCTCTGACCCCAAATGCTCTCCCTCTCTCTCCACCCAAACCCTCCATCCTCATAACCATACACAGCAGTCCTTCACAACCTTTGATGCAGCACCACACATTCCAAATGAAGCCTCAAGATTGAATCGTACATGCCAGCATGCACTAGTAGCAAAGACCAATATGACTCAACATATGCTCAGCATATTCTCTTCCCAAACGGCTACCTTTGCTGGTCCTTATCCATTAGTCCCTTCTATTCCATTCTAGAATGTTTGTAAAAGCTATGCATTCATTTATTCATTGTATAATACATAGAGTGAAAATATATAATACAAAACTTTTTTATTATCTTCTCTGCCTCGTCTTTGTCTCTGCATTCATTTTCTCTTCACATCCTTCTCTTCCTTTTCAAACTGATGGTTCTGAAAACTGATGGGGAAGAATTTGAACCATGTATCTCTTTGTTCTCAACCTCTGACAGCCTACATGTCATGTGAATTTCCTTCCTCCCTCCTCAATTTATGTATGTCATATTGAGAAATAATATAACCCCCAAAACCCAAACCGCTGCCTTCCATCCATATGGGTCTCAGCTCATTGGAAAAGTAAAGGTATGCTTTGATTGTTGTTCTTAGTATTTTGAGGGTCAGAGGGTGGAATGGTTCTGGGTTTGGTTATGTTGGGGGTAATAATTTGGTGGTGGTCCTAAACCCGAGTCCGTAGGCAATCGGGCCTCCAGATCCGAGGTTTGAAGTTGGGCTGTGTATGAGACCTCGAAAGAGGCCTTTTCAATGCCAAAAGGTTCAACCTTTGTCTTTGGTGGCCAAGTGGTGGGGATAGTGCAGCTTCCTGGTAGTTTCGAATATATTTGCTTCTTTTGGAACTTTAATTACTATTTAATATATTTGTTCTGCTGAATTGCTGTGTATTTGACACTCAAGCTCTTATTTTAGAAGCAAAAACAGGTGTCTATTTTGGTGTTTTTGCTGTGCTCATCTTCTAATGCATGTGGGAAAAGAACCCAAGATACAGCTTTTTGTGTTTTTCCCCATTTTTGTTTGTTAAACTGACATACATCTCATCTCCAAGTTAAACTGACTAGCAAGATGTTTTCATTTACTTTCTTTCTAATACAGCATAAGTCATGTAAGATTATTACAAAAAGGGATTGCAGATTGACAGACCCATACAAGATTTCTGGTTTTGTTTCTGTTAATTCATGTAAGATTATAATATTTTTGAATATGCATACTGCAGGGGAATATGGGTTGATGATATATGAGGCATTGGGGGGGTTTAAAACCTTAGTGCTAGTTTGGCATTGCTTATTTGGGGGTGATAAGTGATTTTTTTAAAAATTTTGAGAAGCCCAACCCGTTTGGTAACTGTGAGAAAATCACTTATTGTTAAAAAATTGCTGTGAGAGAAAGTTATAAGGAAAGCAGCTAATGAGGTGCTTTCATTTTCTGATTATGTAGATCATTTCGAGAGGCGTTGGTTTTAATGATTAAACGGCAATCATTTTTGATTATGCGTAAATCAATACCAACAACACTTTTAACAAAAAATTTACCAAACACCAAACTGTTTTCTCTCACAGCTTTCTCCTCACAGCAAATCTGACAGCGATTATTTTCACAGCACAGCATGCCACACTAGCCCTTAAAGGCATACTTTAGGAAATAAAACTCAATGGCTCTAAAGGAAATGCCCACTTGGAAATTCTTTACCTCTAAAGACAATAATTTACTTAAAAGAGTGAGCATGATTGGTGACTAACAAATTAGGCCTAATATGATAGTTAAAGATGGTTTATGCTTGAAAAGGACTCTGTTTTTATGTCTTTTGACTTTCTGATTTTCCTGCTTTCTCTTTATCATTGTGGTAGCTTAGTTTTGTTTCTTTTTTCCCTTCTCTGTTGGCTTGGGTTGCTGTTCGTTTTCATGGGCCTGTTTGGGGCAATTGGGTTGTATCTGTTTCATCATTTATTTCTCTAATTTAACTTCTTCTCTTACTGTTGTTCATCCTCAAACTTAGAGAAAGAAAAGTAGTTTGGTTGGTTGGTTTGGATTGAGTTTCATTGATTTGGGGCCTTTAAGCAAAGAAGCATGCAAATGTGTGAAATTATAACCTTGTCAAATACCCCCAAACTTAGATTTTGCTATCCTCGAGCAAAACAAAATAAAACTACAACTTAGGAAACAGGAAATAAGCAACTAGCCTTTCAAACATATCCTCAAAGAGCACGAACGTATTTGGTTCCAAAGAAACACACAACACTCACATCTAAGTTCCACACATGATTCACGAGAAAGCAAAGCTCACAATGACACCCTTAAGTGTAGTGTGTGAATGCCAAATCAGAACAACCCCTGCCACTCAAATAAGTACTTGTGCACACTTAGAGCAAAATAAAGAATTCCGAACCCATAAGCTCATTATCCAATCTGCTCTCCCACATAATACCATGCAACACCAAGGATCAAAAGGACTTTACAAGGGTAGTAATGAGGTTCAGGGTAGTGGTAGAATGAAAGAAGGGATATGAGATATACAATATTTTGAGCACATTGAAAGCACAGGTAATAGCATAAGAGATTACTGAACTTTGTAACAAGCAAGGAATACATACATGAGCAATTTTCAACATAATTTCAGCATCTTCAAATGTGTTTATTTTTGGCCTAATTTATGGATCTTTACCCTAGATCACCATGATCTTCTCTTTTATAACATCCTAGGGCCGTGACTACATTGGTCACACTTCATTACCTCTTTTGATTAGTTACCAATACCCCCAAACTTATTTCTTTTCAACACTTGTGTTTATGACACTATTGATTCACTTTTTGCTCCAAATCCTTGCATTCTTATACTCTCTTTTAAGGATAGCTTTAATTCTCAAAGAATAGAAGAATAAGAAAATATAGGGTTCATTATGGTAAGATGGTTTACACAAAAAAGGCTTAACGTAGGCCTCAAATGGGTTTGACTAGGGATGAATAAATGCATGGCCTGAATCACTTCCAAAGCATTGTATGGCACAGAATGTCTCAGAGTATTCAAATAAAGTTTCTAGAGTACGAAACCAAGATCATGAGAGAAGTAGAAATTGCATAACGTCCCAAGTAGCAAGAAATTGGACTAACTTGGCAAAGTGCTCAATAAGTGCAAGGATGGCTGCAAGATAGAGTTAACTCAGAACCCACACAAGTTTTTAACAATGACTATCAATTTCTGAGAAACCATATTAGTATTAAATCCAAGTCTTATCATAGGTGTTTGGAAGGATAACGAAACAACGCAAAATCCTGCGTTTTTAGACATACACACACTAAATTTTTTTAAAATTTTGACAATAAAACACATACCAAATCCTTCCCCCCAAACTTAAATGAAACATTATCCTCAATGTTTAAGAATATAAGAACATGTAATGCCTCATAAATGAAAGGAAAGAAGATAAGGAAAAGACATAACCCAAGGTAAAGTCAGAAAAACTCCCCTTTTAAGCGATTAGGACGTAAGCAAGCCCTTGCAGGTTCTATCTTCTCCTCGACACCTTGGGTTGCTCCCAAGAAGTCTATGTTTTATGTCTTCAGTCGGACGATACTGCCTTTAAGCTTCACTGGGTCATGCCTGGAGGGAACATCCTTCACTACATGCTCTCACAAACACTCATAGTATGGCTTCAAGCGGTGTCCATTCACTTTGAAATTCATGTCCCGTCTTTAAATTTGAATTTGGACTGCACCATAGGGAAAAACAGTAGTAATAACAAAAGGACCAATCCATTTAGAAGTAACTTACCCGGAAACAAACAAGGCGAGAGTTGAAAAGTAACACTTTCTGCCCCACAGAAAACGTTTTAATATCACGTGAGATTAGTTAAACAACCATAAAAAGAGTCACCAAAAACACTAAAATCATCCATGAAAACCTCAATAATCTTCTCAACGAAATCCGAAAAGATGCTTACCATGCATCTTTGAAAGGTGGCTGGTGCATTACATAAACCAAATGGCATTCGTTGATAAGAAAAAGTACCAAATGGACAAGTAAAAGTAGTATTTTCTTGGTCATCTGGGGCTATAACAATCTGATTAATCCCGAATAGCCATCAAGAAAGCAATAAAAAGAATGACCGGCTAACCTTTCAAGCATTTGATCAATGAACGGCAAAGGGAAGTGATCTTTCCTTGTGGTGGCATTGAGCTTCCATAGTCAATGCAAACTTTCCAACCTGTTTGGATACGAGTCGGGACAAGTTCATTCTCTTCAATTTTACCATAGGGACTCTTGATTTCTTTAGTACAACTTGAACCGGTGAAACCCAACGACTATCCGAAATTGGGTAAATGACCCCACAATCGAGAAGCTTAATGATCTCCTTTTTCACAACTTCCATCATTGGAGGGTTGAGTCGGCGTTGAGCCTCTTGAGTTGGTTTAGCCCCTTCCTCTAGAAGTTTGCGATGCATGCATGTTGTAGGACTAAGTCCCTTGATGTCGGCTAAAGTCCATCCAATGGCTGCTTTGTACTCTTGCAACACCCGAACTAGTTTTTCCTCCTCCACTGCCGTGAGTGATTAGAGACTATGACGGGCAAAGTCTCTTCATCTCCCAAGAAGACATACTTCAAATGATTCGGTAATGGTTTAAGCTCGAGAGTGGGTGCCTGAATCACCGAAGGTAACAACTTGTTAGTAGAAATGGGAATTGGAATTGGCATTGGAGGCTTACCCAACATATTGTGGCAATGACTCAAGGGCAGCCACCATCTCGCCAATTTCTTCATGATTAGGTTTGGCCCCATTGGTGATGAGTTCAATTCCTTGAACAATGGTGGTTTCAAGGGCATCCCTATCTAGGGATTCGAGATATTCCTGCACCAAAGAATCAAATGCATCAATAGAGAAACACGAGTGATGATCAATAGGGTACCTTATAGCTTCAGAAATATTGAAATCAATGATATCGCCATCAAATTCCATTGTCAACGTCCCCTTGAACACGTCGATCTTGGTTCGGGCTGTTTTCATGAAAGGTCGTCCAAGTAAGATTGGCAATGGTGTAGAATGAGCCGAATCCTCCATCTCAAGCACATAAAAATCTGCTGTAAATATCAAGTGGTTAACCTGCACCAAAACATCTTCCAAAACTCCTTTCGGATATGCATTAGAACGATCGGCTAATTGAATTATAACGCCATCGTTTTTAAGCTCTCCTAAGTTCATAGATGCATAAATAGAGTATGGCATGACATTAATGGAAGCACCTAAATCTAACATGGCATGTTCAAACTTGGTGTTACCAATAACACAAGGGATTGTGAAACTACCTGGATCTTTGCATTTAGGTGGAAGTTTTCGTTGCAAAACTGCGAAACATTCTCACTTACCCTTACCACTTCTTTGTTCGAAATCCTCCTCCTTGTTGTACAAAGCTCTTTCAGGAATTTAGCATACCTTGGAACTTGCTTTATTGCGTCAAGAAGTGGGATATTACTTGTACCTTCCTGAAAGTCTCTAAGATGTCTTTTTCATTCTCTTTTTCTTAGATTGCATAAACCTGCGAGGGAAAGGCACATTTCGTGGAATAGGGTTAGAATGAGTTGAATTTGGGAACAACCTTACCTGAGTTTGGTTGTGTAGGAGCTTTGGGGGACTGCGGCAAGGGTTGTTCCTCCCTTGCTGTGGCTTTGTCCACCTCCTTCTCTTTGGGCAGCAGCTTTTCGTTCTCTTTTGGGCTTTGTTTGGACATTTCGGGATTGGTTCCAATCTCTTTACCACTCCTCAAGATGATAGCTTTAGCCGTAACCTCCTTTTGGATTGACAATGGTTAAGCTAGGTAGTTTGCCTTCTTCTCTAAACTGTCCCATGAATTCTGCCATCTGCCCAATTTTCTTCTTCGCTTCGCTCATCTCTTTGGCTTGATTTTGTAAACCCTGGGTCAAAGAAGTTAGTACTTGAAGCATGTTATCATTATCCAATGGCAAACCTGAATTTGATTGGGCAATTTGTGGTTGAGGTTGTGGTGGTGCAAACGGCCTTTGATAGAGCCCCGGAGGTGGCTATCTATATCCGCCTTGTTGTTGAGTTTGTTGAGGCTCTCTCCACTTCAAATTTGGATGATCTCTCCAGCCCGGATTGTAGGTGTTTGAAAACAGTTCATACCTAAGTTGATTTTGGCCTTGATAACCTACGGCATTGGCACTTTCCCATCCCCCATTCTCTATTAATTGAGGACATTGATCAGTGTGGGGTCCATGCATAGAGCACACGCTACAAGTGGCTATACTTTGCAGTTTGGATCCTTTGACAACCTGTGAAATAAGAGTAGAGAGATTGAAGTTCCAAAATAGCACTTACCTCATTAACTTGACTTGGCCGTGCATGATCTCTCCCTCAAACTCCTTCGTATTGTTGTGCATTCAAAGCTCGGTTTGCTATTAAGATCTTCGCAGCAACTGGTGTTTTGTCAACCAAAGCACCTCCTCTGAAGCATCAAGCATTTGTCTCTCCAGTGGAAGTAGTCCTTCATAGAAATATTGAATTAAAAGCTCTTCCTTCATTTGATGTTGTGGGCAGGATGCAACTAACGTATTAAAACACTCATAGTACACTGGAAAGGATTCTCCCGGGCCTTGTTGAATTCCACTTATTTTCTTCCTCAAAAGAATGACTCTTGAAGTTGGGAAGAATTTCTCTAAGAATGCTTTCTTCGTACTTTCCCAAGAAGTAACGGTTCTAGGTGCTAGTTCATAGAGCCAATCTTTAGCCTTGTCCATAAGAGAAAATGGGAAGGCTTTCATCTTCTAAATATTCCATCCACGTTAATGGGTGTCATACTTGAACATACTACTTCAAATTCCTTCAAATGCTTGTTTGGATCTTCCATGGACAGCCCATGGTATTTGGGAATGTGATGTAGCAAACTCGACTTCAATTCAAACTCATCGGTCTTGCCTGCAGCTGCCCTAGGGTATTGAATGCAAAGAGGGACTGCATTGTCCAATTCAGAGGCTGAAAGTTCCTTGATTGTTCGATTGTCTATAGCCATGTCTTGTTCCTCTTCCAAGTCCGTTTCCGCTTCAGATTCAGGTTAGAACTAGAACTAGAGGGATTAAGTTCTGGCTGTTTCCTCTTCCTTCTCAAAGTTCGTTCGAAATCGTCGTCAAAGTCCAATATGTGCGCACGAACAGGGTGTGAACTTCGAGTCATAGACTAGTACCTACAACAAAGAAAAAAAAACAAAACAAAATCAGAAACACAAGAAAAACGAAAACAAGGGGAAGATTAGCAATTTTGCTAATCCTCGGAAACGGCGCCAAAATTTGGCGTCAGAAATAACTAACGCAGAAATTAAACCCTATAATTATGCAATCATAGTACGAGTAAGGAGGGATCATTCTATTCCGGGGATTAGGAGGGATGCTAATCAACACAAATTAAACTTATTCAATTGGAAACTAAGTTAAGGGAACAATTTTGGGGGTGGGGGGGGGTTGGGTGGATGATTTAGACTAAAGTAAAACTGACAGCAGCAAACAACTAAGTTGCGAATGAAATATGGATTAGGGATAGCTAGAGGATTCTTCTCCACACATGGAACATATGCACACAAATTGATCTCCAGTTACTCTTTCTATAAAGTACGAATAACAAAGCCCCAAATTAATTCTGAATGCACTAATTAACTCTCAGATTTTCCTAAGTTCATTGAATTGGACTCAGCGACTCAATCAAATTATCCTTATCAAGTTCCCTATATGACAGCATGATAGAGATACATATAAGAGATCATTAAGTTCTATGAAAATCATAAGCCTTGACAAGGCATGTGTAACTATGAAAAGAATGATACTCCTGCCAGGAATTTACTTAACGCAATCATGACTAGTGACTTTTACTACTTGTGAATATAAGTTCATAACGATTAGGTGAAATTCCCTTATATTCTAGCATCAAATCCCTGCATACAAACTAAGTATGCATCCTTAATAAACATGCAAGAATAAGTCCTCAATAAAACAGAAAAGTAAATCAATTCCTACTTTATGAAACCATAACTGGAAGTAATCAATTCATATAAAACATATGTCCCTGGCTTCGAATTCACCTCTAACTAAGAAGAAATTCAGTCACATATGTTCATAATAATTGAAAAGCAATCTGAATAAACATTTAACTAATCAAGGGAAGAACTCTAAAAACCCCAATGGACGCAGCAGGTTCCGCTCCAAGTTCTTCTTCTCCTTTCTCCTCTCTTTGTGGTGAATCTGAGTGTGTGTATGAGAGTAATGGATGAAGTGAATGTCCTGTGTTCAGAATTGTTGTGCTATTTATAGGGAGAATGAAAGGAGAATATCTGATTGAATATGGGTTATTTGTTCACCGTTTTGTGTTACTCCTATGATGCAAGGGCCAAGTTCCCCTAGAACCATGAGTGGTCAACAGTCAGCTTTCTGTGTGTGCGGCGTGGCCCTGCTAGTATCAAAATTCTAGCATACTAGTTTGGAATGGATAACTTGCGCCCCACGTTCCATTTCTGCAAACCAGCGATGGTGAATTTGGGTGAGGAATATCTCCCAAGTAAGTTCTTTCTTGCCTCAGACTGGTGAGGACTTTAACAATTTATCTCCGTATAAGTTGTTTCTGGCCAGATGGTTGATGGAATTTAAACGTTTTTAGGCGAACTGCCTTTACAAAACTATAACAATAAATAGCTCATGCTAGAGAGAGATGAAGAGACAGCTGGAACTCCATTTCTGTCGAGATGGAAGGTTTTGTGACCTGGCTGAAATGCCTGGCGTGGCTGGACGTTGACAACTTTGACTGTTAAGCTTCAACTGTAAAAGCGATACCAAAGGTTGATTCTGACAGAGCTTCAATGTACCCAAGCTTGTGAGCTTTTGAGTGGGCAGAACTGCGATTTCCTAGTCTGCACGGCAGAAGTGACTGTTTTTTGAGGGCTTCGTGGGCTAGCGACCGCCTGGTGGAATTTTGTTGAGGTGCCCTGTTTGGAGAAAGGTCCAGCTCTCCCTTTGTCTTTGTTTTTTGCTTAACCAAATTTGTACGAGAAGAAATCTCGTTTGAATGACTTATTTAAGTCTGAGCCTTGAGAATTTATCTGAAGCTGGTTTCACGTCGAATTCAAGTGGGCTTTTGGTTTGTTTTGAGTGTCTATTTGACTGTGGTTTTTGCTTGTGTAAGATTTTTTGTTTGATGATGTTGAATTTTTTTCTGTCATTTGCTGTTCACTCCTTTTGTATTTATTGTAAATGTTTTTCTTCGAGTAGGGTGATAATGGGGGGCTTAATAAGGGGCGGCAAACTTTTCAAATATATATCCGTTTTTTTTTTTTTTTTAATGGAAGAACGGGAAAATAGATTTCATCAGTTGGCAGTGGCTCTCAATAGGCACACTTCCCTGTTGTCTCTGAAAGAGACTATCTCTGTTCCCACTGTTTTTTAATGCCCCTTTGAGATCTCATCCGGTATGGTTAGTTTTGATTTCGTTTTGGAGCTCCCTCTTCCTGCTTATCTTTCTCTGAGATTGTAGATGCGTATCTCTTTGGGGATTACCTTCTCTTAGAATAGAAGAAAAAATTCTCTGAATATTTGTAAAGAGGGATTTTGAGTCAGATTTTTCAGGTTTTTACACAGCTTGATGACATAAATTTTCCACTCACTTCTTCTATGACAGTTGCCATTGTGAAACTTCCTTATCCCAGAGATGTCACGTGGGTTGTTTCCTGTTTATGGCTCCTCCCCCCTTTTTATCACAACGGGCCTGTGAGGCCCAGGTTCGTTTTGGTGTCTTTGATAAGCCTTAGGCTGGGCCTCTTCTGGTTTTAGGCTTCCATCTTCCTATTTCTCGAAGACCCAAATTGCTTTGATTTTTTGTAGACCTATTCTAGGCCTCGTTCACTGGTGGGTGTGAATTGTGGGCCCAAACAGTTATGCCATAGCACTTGCAATTAAAAATTCATCTTCTTCGCTGCTGCACTTCACCAACCAATCCACCGATAGCACTTGTAATTAAAAATCATTCATGGCTGTTGCACTTCACAACAAATCCACCAGAAAATGGACGTGTAACTTCATGGGCGCATGCAATGGGCTTGCCTTTAATCAATTGATGTATTTGAGAGTCCATTCCAACTTGACGTTCAGCCTCTCATCTTTTGAACCACATGTTACTTGGGCCAATCTAAGTTCGGAAGAAGAAGTTAGGCCATGAATTGCTAACCTCAATCTGCCATATTTTGCACCATTTTGCAGCTTTCATAATTAGCAATTGCTCAGCCATCACCTCTTACATGCATGAATTGTATCCCATGTGATGCCCTGTTTGTCTTAAACCTACAAACACACAAACATAGGTAAGAGACTAAAATAAGGAGAAACTAACAGATTCCTAAGCAAAGAAGGCATGCCAAGTGTGAAATTATGACCTTATTATAGTCTACACCTGTTATAACACAACTCCCGTATTTCAAGTGGTTTTAGAAGGGTGCCTGAGAGGTATTATGGTTCCTTCATGAAACCGAAGGATTAAATCCTTACGTGATTGTAGGATATTGAAGCCCCTCGCACTACAATGGCAATGTCAGCATTTGGTACTTCACGAAATGGCTTAGAGCCAGTGAATCTAAAATGATTCATGTAAACCACAATCTGGACTCTAGTTGATCCACCTCCTGGTAGTGTACCAATAGTAAATAAATGGATTTTCAAGTAAGATAGGCTCAGATGGGCAAAGTAGAAACCTATAAGGCAAGCAGTTAGCAAAGGGCTACAAGTAAGAGAAGGAATTGACTATGGAAACCTTCGCTCCTGTTGCTATACAAAGGCCTATTCAGATTTTGCTTGCATAGCTTGTATCCGCATGATTTGAGTGTTTGGCAAATGGATTGAAGCCGGCTTTCTTATGGCCACCATTCAGGAGACAATACCTGGATCCACGTTGAGGCTTCATTTCTAAAGCTGATAAGCCGGTATGCCAACTACTAAATCCTTTATGGGTGAGCAACTTCTGGGAGGTGGATTCCATTTTGATGCAGTTGTCACATCATTGCTTCATACAAAACTGGATGATCACTGTGTGCTACAAGAAGGTTATGGGCGGTTCAGTAGTAGTCCTTGTCTTGTATGTATATGACATATTTTTGTTGTAAAACGAGATATGAATGTTCTTAGTGAAAGCTGTGGCTCACTAAATCATTCTCAATTAAGAGATTAGGAGAGGCATCGTTTACACTTGGAATAAAAATTTATCGTGGGAACAGATCCTCGAGAATAATTGATTATCTCAATCCTTGTATAGATAAGGTCTAAATAGATTTTCATCTGGAACAATCGTACGAATGGTTACTTCCATTAGACATGACTTCACCTTTCTAAGCACATTGGCCGAAACTTCTGAAGAGATACGAGCAATGTATAAATCCCTGTATTCATCTGCAATAGGGAGTCGTCATGTATGCCATGGTTTTTTCCAAGACCAATATCATTTTATGCTGTTAGTATAACGTAGATATCGTCGAACCCCGATTAGATCAATTGGGGAGCTGTTATTTACCTTAAATACTTACGAAAGGACTAAAACATGTTTTCCTTGTTTTATAGAGGAACACAAGTTCAAGTGAAGCGTTTACTGATTCAGATGTTTGCATCCGATGTACTGACGAAATCCACATCTTGATATGTCCTTCAATTCTTGAAGGATGCGTTTTTAGCTGAGAGCTGTAAACAAAGTGTACTCCACAACTGAAGCTGAGATGTTGCTGCCTCAAAGCACAAGAGCTGTTTGGATAAAAAGTTCATTAACGAACTAATGTGTTCCACCATACTGTCACCAGTACCTTTGTAATATTGACAACATGGGGCATAACGCAAGCCAAAGAACTCGGTCCTCATTAGAGTCCGAGCACCGTGACAGAAAATTCACAATATTCGAGGACTCATTTCGAATGGGATGTACATTCCTAAAGGTGCATCTGCAGACAACGAGCAGATCCCTCACTAAGCCTATGTTTCATAGTCCACAACTGATATAACTACAGAGAAATGGGTATTCGATCATGGCTATATGGCTCTATTGCAAGTGGAGATGTTAAATGTCCCTAAAGCGCAATTACATTGATGTAATCTCCTTAGAATACATTTATATAAAGGGCAAACTTATTTTGTTTATCTTTTACTCGTGTAAAGAAAAAAATGTCCAGGGTATGCTATATAAGAGATAAAGTAATCTAAAGAAGATTAGATTCATGAGACCTTTTATCTCTAATGTAGTACCCCCAAAATGTTCCTAATCATAGGTTATCAAATGGGCATTGATAAAACTCAAGATAGCACATATTATGTATCTCAATTGGGAGGATGGTTAGTCTCAAACCATTTTGTATAGTTGACACTAAGACAAGTAGGTGGGGTGCCCCTTAGAGAATATACCTGCACGCGATCAATCTAGTTCTCTATGGAGTATTTATTCGTATGTCAAAGAAATCTCATAGTTGCAATTGCAAAGTAGTCCTTAACGGATGCATCATGGTTTGTCCTGTGATGCCGTTTATTGTCTTTGATAGCTCTTAGGCAAGCCCTAAGAAAAAAAAAAAAAAAAAAAAAAAAAAAAAAAAAAAAAAAAAAAAAAAAAAAAAAAAAAAAAAAAAAAAAAAAAAAAAAAAAAAAAAAAAAAAAAAAAAAAAAAAAAAAAAAAAAAAAAAAAAAAAAAAAAAAAAAAAAAAAAAAAAAAAAAAAAAAAAAAAAAAAAAAAAAAAAAAAAAAAAAAAAAAAAAAAAAAAAAAAAAAAAAAAAAAAAAAAAAAAAAAAAAAAAAAAAAAAAAAAAAAAAAAAAAAAAAAAAAAAAAAAAAAAAAAAAAAAAAAAAAAAAAAAAAAAAAAAAAAAAAAAAAAAAAAAAAAAAAAAAAAAAAAAAAAAAAAAAAAAAAAAAAAAAAAAAAAAAAAAAAAAAAAAAAAAAAAAAAAAAAAAAAAAAAAGTGCTTCTATAGTGAGTGGAAAGTTATAAGGGGTTTTTTTGAGGGGTATGTAAGAGCCGTTGGATTTCATCCAACGGTGAGTTTTTAAAAGAGGGTGCATGTAGAACCGGGTTGAAATCTGACCCGTTTGGAAACCCAACTTCAGCTGAAGATTTTTCCCTCTCTGTGAAAAACTCAAGAACACAATCCTCTCTTTTTTAATGTAATGCAAATCCACAATTAGAACGATCCAAAGCTCCCAAACTCTATAATCGCTCCATTGTCATCAGCTCCTTGGGAGGCCTGCGATCTATGGTATCCTCGGTATGATGATTAATGGCTTTTACCTAGCTATTGCCCTGTTTTGATTCTATTATTGAAGTGAAAACCCCTTCTCTTTTTCGTTCAGCAGAAGAGATTCCAGATGAAAGCAAAGTAGCATATCTCTTTTTCGTGCTGCTGCAGTTGTTCCTGGATTTTGGTAGAGATGGAGTCTCCACTACGAAAGAATCCTCTCTAATGTCCACCACATTCTTTGAAGCTGACTGAGTTCGGAACTCCCGATTGACTTTGAGAGGTAAGTTCACTGTTGCTGGATTGATTTTGTTGGGTTTGATTTGTTTTTTGTGAGGGTGAGAAATTTGTCATTTGTGGCATCAATAATGCGTCATTTGCTCTGCTATCAATAATGCGTCATTTGACTTTGAGAGGTAAGTTCACTCTTGCTGGATTGATTTTGCTGGGTTTGATTTGTTTTTTATGAGGGTGAGAAATTTGTCATTTGCGGCATCAATAATGCGTCATTTGCTCTGCTATCAATAATGCGTCATTTCCTTATGAATATTCAATATACTTAGTTGATTATTTTTGTTTGGAGGGGGATTGGAAAATTATGAAATGTAGGTAAAAGATCCTAAACTTAGGCTTAATGGCATTAGAAGTAAGCATTTGGAGAGGATATTGGGTGAAGTTCTGTAATTGCTGGTTTGAATTACATTTGAGTTCTTAGTTGAACATGTTGGTTCTAAGGTAATTTTTTCCAGATTATTTCACAAGAGATGACGTAACTATTATTAAATTTTGCTTGTGTTTTCTGTAATCAGAATCCAACAAGCTAAGCTATGCGTGTATTGTGTCAATTTGGGCAATGTTTTGTGTAAGTGGAATGCATTGATAAGTTGTGATGCAGTAATGATTGATTAATGAATTAACATTTGCTATGCAGTAATATAGAAGTAGATCAATAATATACGTGGATAAAATGTCTGGGGGCTCAGAGAGTGATGACTCTGTAATAGCTAATGGGAGGGTTTACATTCCTGAAGTAAGAAATGAGGAAACACCAGCAGTTGGGATGAAGTTCGACTCGCTTGACCTCGTTTATAATTTCTATAATAGATATGCATTCTTGGCTGGCTTTGGTATTCGACTTCATTCCAGCTTTTGGGGGAAAAATAAGAAAGAGATTCTGAGAAAAGAATTTGTATGTTGCAAACAAGGTGCATACCGGAATGATGAAACTCGGGAGAGAAAAAGACAGCGGGGAATAAGTAGATGCAATTGCAAAGCTAAGATTGTGGTTGTGAAGACACATGGGAGCAAGAAGTATACCATCTCTCTTTTTGCAGAGGGACACAATCATAAGATGACACCCTCAGGAAGAATGCATTTACTGAGATCACACCGTCGTATTTCAGATTCTACAAAAGTACTTACAAAACAGTTGGGTTCGGTTAATATTCCCATTAATCAGAAGGTAAGTATTTTCGAGGTGCAATCCGGAGGAATGGATAAAATTGGTTTTATCAAAAAGGATATGTACAATCTTGAATGTAGTGTGAATGAGAAGCTGAGGAACCACGATGTTGAACTAGTGACCGAGTATTTTATGGCTGAACAGAAAAAAATGAGGCTTTTTATTTCAAGATTGAGGGAGATGGCGATAACAGGTTTAGTCGATGTTTTTGGGCAGATGCAACTTCTAGACGGGCGTACGGGTTTTATGGAGATGTTGTTGTATTCGATACCACATTCAACACGAATAGATACGACTTGACATTTGCACCAATGTTGGGAGTTAATAACCATGGTCAAACAATTGTCCTAGCATGCGCATTTTTGAGCAAGGAAACGACTGAGTCGTTTATTTGGATGTTTGAGGAGTTTAAGAAAGCCATGCCAGGTGGCGAACCTAAAACGATCATCACAGATCAAGATGCGGCAATGAGCAGAGCGATTTCAATAGCCTTCCCGACTACATTTCATCGACTTTGCATATGGCACATCACATCAAAGTTCTCTGTTAAGTTACCACATTCTGCTTATAAGGAGTATTGGGGTGAATTCCAGAAAGCCATATGGGATACTGACAATAAGGATGAGTTTGATGCAAAATGGAATATTGTGGTTACAAAGGCTGGTTTGACTGACCATCCATGGCTAAGTTCAATGTTTGATTTAAGGGAATCTTGGGTTCCAGCCTACGCACGACACTTTTTTGCCGCTGGAATGTCAAGCAGCCAAAGAGCTGAATGTTCTCATGGTTTCTTCAAGCAATACATATCAAGGAAAAATTCGTTGATGGATTTCATAATAAGATTTGAGAGGGCACTTTCTCATCAACGTCAAAAAGAGTTAGTTGCTGATCACGTAGATGCATTTGAAGTGGCTCAATGTATTCTACCGATGCCAATGAACAAACAAATGGCTACCTTGTACACAAGGACAATGTTTCAAAAGTTTGAGCAAGAACTAATACAAAGTACAGCATGTTTCCTAGAGCTGAAAACAGAGGATGCTTCTAAAGTTGTCTTTAATGTGAGCGAAAGGAAAAATTGGGAAACAAGAGTGGCAGAAGTCGTATATGTCAAAGATTCTGACCACGCATCGTGTAGCTGCAAAAGATTTGAATTTGTTGGAATTATTTGCAAGCACATCCTAGCATTGTTCAGAAGGGACCAGATTGAATATATGCCCGATAAATACATTTTGAAGAGGTGGAAGAAAACTGCGAAATTTGGATTGGTGTCAGATGCAAATGGCAACGAAATTAAAGACTCTGCAGATCCTGGTCTTTTAATAAAGCGGAGTACAATGTCCCGACTTGCTTCAGATGTGGTTGAGGATGCATTAATGTGTGAAGAAGGATGTGAGGTACTGTCAGAGACTCTAAAAAGTTTGCAGGTGAAGTTGAAGTTGTTGAAGGATGGACCAAGTAATAACGAAGTTGGAGGGTCCAGCTCTCAAACACAATATATGAAAGACCCTAAGAGAGTAAGGTGCAATGGAGGTTCGAAACGAGTAACGGGAGCAAAGGAAAAGGCAATGAAGCGAGGGATTAGACACTGTCGGGAGTGTGGACACATTGGTCATGATAGAAGACAATGCCCAAGAAATTTGAACACACCGTAAGATGTTAACACTATTTATAATAAGACCTAAAATTTGAATAGGTAAAGTTCTTATGTGCTTCTGTTTGATGTTTATGCAGGACATCACCGTCGAACAATGACGAATCAACTCCAATAGATCTTAGTGACCCATTATTTGACGAATTTTACAGGATGCACGGACCAACTCAATGATTTAGGTTTCTATTATACGAAGCCCGGTTATTATGAAGACTAATGATCAGGTGAAGTTTTGTAGATGCAGTTTTATTATTATTAATTTTGTTGTTCATGTCCACCGATGAGCTCTGACTATGTCCATTGATAATTAAAATGAAAATTTGCTTGGTTTCATTCTTGCATGAAATTTGGACACATGTTAATTTTACGTCTTCTCCCTATTTAGAAATTTTCATGGACATTAGATAAAGCATCAAATTTTGATTTATGTGAACAAGCAATGACTTTTACCTTGTAAAATGGGTAGTTTATGGTGAATTATGTTTGAATAGAGATTTATTGATTATATGACAGGCTAATGCAGCATTTCCAGCAGCCAGCTATTGTTTCCATTACCAGTAATGATTTCCAGCAGCACGCATCATTTGTAGCAGCACCCACTTTTTGCGAATGTTATGTTCTAGTGTTTTACTGGTGATTAAGATCTGAGCTGGACTGGTTATTAGGTGCACGATTTTGCAAACATTCGTAGCTGAAGGATACTTGAAGCACTTTGTTGGAACAGAAATATTAGAAAGCAACGTGTAAAAAAGTACATTGCAGCTAATCACATTTCGAATGGTTGGGTAATATTAAAGGGTACACTAACATTTGAACTACTCATAATTCCACACACAAAAGAAAATTTGATTGCAAAGCATTTTATGTGCTCCCTCTTAGCAATAGCACGATCTCCCCAATAAACTGAACAACGGTAGCCACAATCACTAGGTCGTATTGGTCAGCTTCTTCTTAGCAGGTCTCGCGTGCTTATGGTCACTCATGTCCCCAGTGATTTAGACAAAATAAATATTCAGCAATATTTGGAATTTTATTATATATACATAAACCATAAACCATTCACTACACAATGTATAGCACATGGCATTTTACTTATGACTCACGTGTCATGATAATGGGGCTTTACTGATTACCAGGGTGCTGTGATATTGACTGCTTATTGAATAATATTTCCATAGTTGCAAAATATAATGTTAGACAGAAGGAACACATGATGACTTGCAAGACATAGTCCCAATAATTATATATGAAGCAAATGAAACTGATATTTGTATTATTTTATATTAGATAATGACATTAAGGGAACATAGTTCTAATTTGTGCAATACCACGATCACCCCCAACCAACAGAACAGCTGTAGCCGCAATCACTTAGCCGTATCGGTCGGCTTCTTCCGAGCAGCTTTGACGTGCTTATGCTCATTCATGTCACCACCATCGTCTAGTATCTCTCTCACAGCATCAGGGGACACATAGTCCCAATTATAACTTGTATGAGTTGTTGCCGCGAATGCTCGGAATTTTTCGAATCCTTCGTTGAATGCCAACTCCAGTTCACTGTGGTGCTCTTCGCATCGCATATGGTTCATCAAACAACCTTTAATTTCATCATTCATTACTGCATCCAACTCCTCAGCTTTCAGCTTCCTTTTATGACTCAGCTTCAAGTACTTGTTCTTTTGGGAGAACGCTTTGTTCACTCTAATGTTAAGATCAGCCAAAATGGCCTCGTCTTCAACACATTTCTCGTGCCATGAATTGATCAGTCTGGAATTATAATCCAGCTTGGTACTGACAGCATCTATTGCCTCTAATGGATCATCGGAGTCCCCCTCACTCCCAAATGATGTTGAAAATGGAAGGGGTCGGCGAGTACAACGTGGAAACGGAACCTGCGACTCCAATTTTTCATCTTCGATTGTGTTGTTGGCGCCTGAAGAGGTTGACATACTTGAATAATCCTATTTGTTTTGGAGGATGAGGATTGCAGATGCAATTTCGTTTGAGAAATGGAACATAGCTTTATAGACCAACAGACCAAAGCTTGCGTGTAGTCAACATATCTACTTTATTTCAATTTTAAAAAAACAGGTGTCAGGTTTTGCTTTTCAAGCATGTCAACCTCACACTCTCCTTACACCACTGTTAGTGGTTGAAAGAAACTCAATGGAAGTGACATCTAGTTAGTGAACCCAACCAAACTAAACAAACTAGTTAGGATTAAACTTAGCTTGTATGAGACCTTTTTTCATTTATACATTGTCAACCAAATGTTTTTTTTGGCGGGAACCCTTTTTTATTGGTATTACTATCACCCCCTTCATAAAAATTCTCCCTCCACAAAAAACTCACTCCTCCACCGAATGTGTCTCCATCTACTGAAACTCTCTCCTCCACAGAAACTCTCTCCCCCCATTTAATGGATTTACTAACCAAGTTTGATGTGAGCGTAATAAACACCCCTCCAAACAAAGACCGCCTTCGAAACGCAAGTGAGTCACCAGACAAGCAATGTCACTTTCCTAGACAGAATGACCATTTTGTTGGAAGTTTTGAGTCTGAAAGAGTTCTTGCTTTCTGGAAGGAGAGGCATCTTCAACTTGGTGATGAAATCCAAAGGGCAAGGGTACGTTTGGAATTTGTTGAAGGCCAAATTGAAGATGACAAAGGCAGGCCAATCTGGATAGGGCGAAGTTGCAGCGCATGAAGCGTAGACACAAACGACTTCGGAGTGTAGCTGTTCAAAAATACAAGAACTCATCTAATGCAAAGGAGTCAAAGAAGCGTGTGATGCAAGCTGGATTCGACTACTTCCGGTCCTATGCAAAACTCGTCGTACCCGGGTTTGATTGGTCATCTATTACCGTTTCCGACGTTAACAAATATACTCAGCAAGGGAAGTGACCATTTTGGTTATCGTGTTTGAGTAGAGGCAAATCAGAGGAACTGGAATTTTCGTTAAGCTCTGCTTCAAACCTATTTTGATGCTTACTACTATAGAAGATTTCAACCTTCATATTTTCATGTCTTTAATTACGATAACACGATGCAAAGTGCCCATCTACTTCAGTCATATGTTGCTGCCATGTCCATTTTTTTGTGATCACGTATCAGATTTGGACATGGTTGCATCATATGCAATGTTGCCTTTATGTATTATATGTTAGGGTAAGGTTTATGGAAAAGCATGTGTGACTGGTTTTGTGACAAGGTTATGGCATTATTTTGTACCAGTTATATATTGTTTTTTGTACTGGTTCATCTCCTACTATTGCTTTATTTCTTTATATTATATGTTTATGCGATTGGACATGATAGAAAATATATTACTGATTCCCAATGCGGCGTCATAAGGACAACTTATTGAATACCGCCGACGTGTTGAAAACTCTAGGTGCAGGTGCATATGGACAACTTATTGACTATCTCTGACGTCTTCAAAGCTCTAGGCGCATGCGCAGTTCCAATTATGGCTTCCAAGTAGTGGTGCATTTATTATATATGTACATTATTATAACCAAAACAGATAATTTTACATCCTTATATATGAAAGGAAACTAATTCTTGTATTAGTACAAATTATATAACGAATATTAAGGAAATATACTTGTTAAAGTGAACAACATATATACTTAGGGTTAAGAGG